AGGGGATTCAACTTACCAATGTGCATTAAATGGAGCAGACATCTAAGTGTCTGAAAGCCATGACCAGCTTCACCTGGACACTGCTTTCCAGGCCTGGGCCCTCCCACCTTTCTACTGAAAGTCAGATCCACCCACTCGGCATCACCGGAGAGCAGGCCAGTTTCATATGGGTTATACTTGCAATGTTAATGAGCTATTTCCCCAGTGCAGACGTCTCCATATTGGTATGCATAGGTTGAGAAATCAAAACACCATTTTTGATATGATAATACATTTAAATAAAAGAAAAACAAAAGCAGACCTAACCAAAGTATTGTTTTCAGACTACAAGATGGAGAATTACATTCAAGACAAATCTTGGCCTCAGGCAACCAAAAAGTATAGAACTTAACTTTGTCTCTTATCTGAAGGAAGAGCTATAGACCCCTTGAGCATTGTAACCATAGCCATGTTGGGAGTAGGAGGTGAAATTTTTATGTTTATCAAAAAGAGATCAAGTTCTAATAGACTGAAAACAGTGATCTAGGAGAATGTAAAGTTAGCTCTCACTCTTTCTGCCACTCATTCGTTTTACCATCTTGTTTTTTGTACACATTCTATGTGCCAGGCACTGAAATGCTAGTTTACGTCATTTTTTCTTTGAATCATTTCAAAAGGATTTACAAAGAATTTCATCCACCCATTTTATTATAACAGGATTGGAAAAAGGCATAAAGAGAGAAAAAATACATTAGCCATGAGCTCCACCATAGTTGATATTGGAATGTAATTGTGGAGCAGAGCTCTGAATAGCCAGGGTATATTGAGACCATACACTGGGTTATATTACTCCTGTAGTGGTCCCAGGAAGAAATTTAGGAGGTCCATGAACTCGGATGAGAAGAAAAGAAATGCCCCTTTACTTTTTTCTTATCTCTAGTTGAAAATTGGGCATTTCTTTCCACTATCACTGTAGGCAACAAACCACAATAGCATAATAGTAGCTGTGACATCATTGTCAATAAAATTTACAGATATTTTTATAACACATTAGAGTTGCTGCAGATAACTTGAATTATTATTTTTGCTCATCATTACTTCAAAAATACAGTAGTTACTGGGTCTTTCACTATTTTATTTAGTCCTACAGTAAAGAAGTCATATATATGTATGAATCCTTCACAAATTTGTTTTTAAAATGTTTTAAATTTTTTAATATAGTTGTTTTTTCTAACTGTATGTAATTTTTAAATGAGTTTAATATTATTCTGAGAAGGAGTCTAAAGGCTTTACCAGGCACCATAAGGGTCCAAATTGGATAAAAGGCTAAGAACCCAGTGGTGGAAGAAGGCGCAAGTCTATAGAAGAAAAAATTTTTCAGACACTAAGTGACGAATTGTTGAGCACACAAACAAAAGCATCATGTACATCTATTTGAAAAAAGAAAAATGCTTAGTGATATATTGGAAAATATCTGACAAAAATATATAGCTAATGTAAGAATTAAATACACACACACACACACACACACACACACACACAGTGGGGCCTTGACCTAGGAGTTTAATTCGTTCCAAGACCGAGCTCATTAAGGAGCTCATTAAGGAGCTCGTTAACTCAAATTACTCTGTCAACTCAATGCAAAAAGTCGGCTGAGAGACAGCTGGTATCTCAAAAAATTTGTTAGTCGGGACACTCCTAAGTCAAGGCCCCACTGTGTGTGTGTGTGTGTGTGTGTGTGTGTGTGTGTGTGTGTGTGTGTATTTCAGAGAGGAAGAGAGAGGGAGAGAAACATCAATAATGAGAGAGAGTCATTGATCAGCTGCCTCCTGCATGCCCCACACTGGGGATCGAGCCTGCACCCAGGCATGTGCCCTGACTGGGAATTGAACTGTGACTTTCTGGTTCATGGGTCAACACTCAACCACTGAGCCACACCAGCTAGGCAAGAATAATTTTTAATTAATATTCAATAAAAACCAAAGGCAAAACATTATAGACAAACGTGGTGATTTTACATGGAGTGAGCATGATGGCAGGAATAAGTCAATGTGACTGGGTGTGTACTCTCTGGTGATTTTACTTTATGTGTTGGTAGAACTTGGAAAATCTAGAGGAATGAAGAGATAACAAGACACATACTAGTCCAAAAAACCATGACAGGTTTTCTGCTATCGTGGAGCTTACATTCGTGTGTGTGTGTGTGTGTGTGTGTGTGTGTGTGTAGGGAGGGCAATGACCCTGTTGACTCATATGGAGGTACCCATTTTTCCAACTATGACACAAGAATTTTCTACATTTCCCCTTTCCGGACTTTGTCTTGCCCATTGTCTTGTCATTGTAGAATGTGTACTGGTACACATATCAAAGGCAGGGACTTCATTTATGGCCATTCTGAGTGCTGTTTAGTTTTGGTATATTTATATTTAATTTATATTTGTATTTATATTTATATTTAATTTATATTTATTTTTATACTTATATTTATATTTAATTTATATGTATATTTATATTTATATTTATATTTATATTTATATTTATATTTATATTTATATTTATATTTATATTTATATTCTGTGCCTCCTTCTTTCTTAGATGTAGGTCCTTTATGAAGTGACTGTGGTAGAGCAACTGTCATTCATGCATACACATTGTCCAGATCCCACTGGAGGAGTAGGGGCAAGCCCCAATGGTATATAACCAAAGTGGGCCAAGTAGAATTGTGACTAATGTTTACAAGGAGGGATAAGGCAATGGAATCTCTTTTGGAAGCAGACACCCGAGAGGCGTATGGACTGACTCTGGGAGGGCCGAGAAACTCCGTGGGGCTGGGAGTCAAGGTGTATCAGTTCAACTCCAAGATGCAGATTTTTGTGACGATGCAGAACTGAGGAACACTGTTGCATTGGGACGGGGGCAAGAAGTAGGGTACGGGTACTCAGATGATGATTTTTTCTGGGAACCAAAGGATAAGTCTGGGTTTGGCTACAGATCACTTTGTTCTGCATCCTTGATTCATTTCTCTTCCTGAAACCTGCATAGGATGTACTCAAGAGGTTTGATAGTGCCAAGAGTGACTGCAGCAGAAGAGGACACACAGAGAGAGAGAGTCAGTGGAGAACAACCTTAGACATTTTAGTGGATGGAAAAGAGTTCACCTGCTCATGTCCCTATTCCGGCACCTCCCCCCGTAATAGCACAGGCGCTTGAGAAACCATGCAGGCCAAAGGCTGCTTCAGGCAGAGGATGGTTGGGTTAGAGGGCTTTCCAATCCGGTGGGCTCTTTGTTCTTGAAGATATAGCTCATCTTGAAGATACAGGCTCAGAGTCCTCCACACCTCAGTTCATACCCCAGCTCCATCCCCAACTGCATTGTGACCTTTGGCCTCTTGCTTAGCGCTCCAAGCTGCAGATCCTTTATGAGAAATAGGGGCCATAAGAGTATTTAACACATAGGGCTATTATGAGAATTAAACACAATCCTGTAGCCCTTTGTACACTAGTAAAATGTATGTAATTGCAATTTTTTTTTTTTAAATGCAATGATCCCTCTTCATAGACAGAGCGCTCCTTTAAGACAGGGTAAGGTTTTTTTGTTTTTCCCTTTTTCTTTTTGTCTGAAGTGCTTAATATCTAGTACCCAACAAAGCCCTGAATGCTCTTAGTTAGGTCTTTTTTCTTTTCATTTTTATATCCCAAGTGCTTAATATCTAGCACCCAACAAAGCCCTTAATGCTGTTAGTTAAGTAAAATCAGATCCTATATCTCTGGCTGGAATTTCCAGAAAGTAGGTTGTCAGGTTCAACAAGAAACCATGAAGACTTAGCAAAATCGCTTCTCCTCTGGTTACTTCTCTTCGTTGCAGGCCCTGAGGTCATAGTGCTGCACAGATGTGTCTGACTTGACAGGAGACTTTTGCTTTTCTGTCTAGAAAATAGGAGCCACATTCAGTTGCCTATTTTAATGGCAGACTAGTCCCCCCTCCGCCCCCCCACCCCCCCCACACACACTTATGTGCTCTCTCGCTGCCTGTGCACTAAGCAGCTTCACTCTGACAGTTGGCTGTCAACGGAATCCATCACTGTTTTAGTCTCTTGTTGACCCAGCCTAACAGATAATTTCATGTCCTGTAGACCAAACAACTGATTGGTTCAACAGGGTAAGATTTAGTCAACTTGTTTAAAAAACTTGAAATAACTGATGTAGTGACATGTTTCAAATTGCTTTATAGTCTCAAATTTGGTACTGAGTCAGCTATGTTTATTTTGCTTTACAAATGTAAGGGCCCTTAAAAGGTGAAAAGTAGATCTCAACAGTTATTTTACTACCAAACAACATGGGATCAGTGCTTCAGTGTGAAAATGCTGATTGTGAAATCTGTAAACACACTATTGGAGAAAAAAAATTATCATGAAATTAAGTTAAGAAAGCTAATAATTTCTCTTTTATCATGTCACTTTTAGAGACTCTACTATATTGGAAACTATATTTCCTAAGGTTCGATTGAAGAGGATTTAATATATTTCTTGGTTTGTTAAGTGAGCCTACACTAAGGCAAGGTTTTACAAATCCATTAGGGGTTCGGAAGAGAAAGACGGACAGAGGACCCAGATGCTTTGACGAGAGACGCAGGAATTGACATTTTGATATGTCGCATTACGTGAGATGATTTGGCAATTGGACAACAGAGTTGTCTCTTTTATTAGCACACCCAAACAGCAGCAGAAAAACAACCTTCCATTTTATTTTCATGAGATTTATTGTTTTTTAATAATGCCACTTTTCAGAAGTATAGTCATGTGCTCACTTAGACAGGCTGACAAAGTGAAAACTTGTACGTGATGCAAAGTACCCTTTGGGCCATAGATTAAGACATAGATAGTGCAGTGACAAGTCAAGTCAAATGCCCGCAGCAGACAACAAATCCCAACCTCCCCTTCCCATGATCTGGCTCCCATTTTGCACCATAGAACCCACAGTGGATATCTGGGCAAAACATAGAACACAGATGGCTACCGACAGACATGAAAAGTAAATTTTATTAAACATGTTTACATACATGAGTTGGAAGTTCATTTAAAAGCACAGGGGAGTGTTAAGACAAGTGGTCAAAATAGAAAGGTACTACCCAATTATAGTTGATTGTTGGCCACTAAGACAGAACGGAGTCTAGTAGAAGTGCACCAATGCCTCAGTTCTTCCTGCTCAGCATGGTGAGTAGTGGTCAGTCTGTGCCCTGTGGAATGATGGGCAGGTGATTCTGGCGTGTGTAAATAATGATAAAGAATTCACTTGGTGCAGGCAGTATGTCTATGGATTAAAACCTAGTGTGTACACAGTGTCTACATGTGTCACAGCCCCACAGTTAGAATCTACACCAAAATATTTATTAGAAGGAATTTGGTCCATACTACATCACGTTTTCCAGAGGGTAAAAAATAAAGTCCATCTATAGACATTTCACCCCAGGCTCACAGATCGAGTCTGTCAGAAACCTGCAAAATGCCTATAACAAAAATGGATGGCTTAGATTTCTTGGTTATTTCAGTATAGTAATTAACGAGCAAAATGTACAAGTACATGCAACATACAAGCGGGCCTAGATGGAACTAACATACATTATTAAATAGCCTTTTGTTTCTTTTCTCTTTCATTTTTTATTATTATTATTATTTTTTTTTACAAAATGTGCATGCAGCGTTGAACAGTTCCAAGTCATGCTGCTCTATCTGTGTAGTCACAAAAGTTGAATGACTCATAAAAGGAGGAGAACATGTCAATGCACCTGCAGTCTGCAGTATGGAACGCACACACAGAATGCCACAAGGGAAAGTCAAGGCCAAGAAAAACTCAGATGAAGAAAATGCACATTGAAATTTGACTTTGTTTTATCTCCCCCCAAAAAAGTAAGATACTTTGCATTAAAAAAAACAAAAACGAGCTTTGTGCTTGCATCGATCTCAAAGAAATGTAAACTAAAATTCGATAAAAACATTAGTTTAGTGCAGGATAGTTCAACTGGAATTTCCAGTGAAATACTGAACAGCTCATACCATGCTCTTTCCGGGTGGACGGGTGTGTCTGCACTGAGGCACGGCCGAGAAGCCCGGGCATAGCCCACAGTGTCTTAGGTCCAAATCCATTTTAATCACCATTTGAAGTCAAAAGTGTGGTTTATACACATGAGCATATACTTTTTTTTATATCGGGAAGAAAAAGGCATTACAAGGAGTGTTTCCAAGGTACGATTATGCAGTTAATTTTAGTTCCCAGCATTAGTTGCAGATTGACTCCTTTAAAAGTCTTCCATGCAGAACAATGGAAAAGAAATATTTTTAGAATGTGAACAGATGTGCTCTCCATTAAACATGGTGATTCAGGGATTATTTTTTTGGAAGATAACTTTTTTTGTTTTCTGGGTTTCCACACATCAGACTGAAGAATTATAGCATGAAAGCCAGTGGAGCCCTTCAGGGGCCTCGCCTTGTTCAGCTGTTGAACACGCAGGGGAGATGCTACAGAGGCTGCTTCAGCCCTTTTTGTGGCGAGTTTGGAAAAAGAAAGGAAGGGTCTCTGTAAGCATCACGAGGCCTGTCATGACACAGCCGAAAACCAGTGTAAATAACAAACTCAGTAAAAAACGAAACAAAACAAATCCAAAAGCAACAAATAACACACACAGAAACAAAACACAAAAGAACAAAACTTGTCAAACACCAGGGAAATAACACTGCTCGTGGTCTGTGTAAAAACGTGTGAAATACAACTTATCACAGAGCGAGAGTTTCCAGTTTGTTCAATTTGGGGTGCGTGCGTGTGGGCTTAAATGCGTGTGTGCATGTGTGTGTGTGTGTGCGTGTGTGCGTGTGTGTGTGTGAATTTGAAGTTTCTTCTTTTTCTGTTTTTTAGAAGCATCAGTGGTTCTCACTAGCTTGTTGGCTCTTATTGTAATCTGATACACTGCCTTGTTCTGTCATATGAAGCCAGATTTGAAACAACAGTTGGGACACATTATTGAAAAACTACTACAGGCAAAGCACAAGTTGATTGTCTGTCTCCAACAATGCTTTTGATCATGAAATATCTGGTTCCGATCATTACCCTGAAAGGTAGAGCTTTATTGGAATGACTCTAGTATGAGTTCACTACGATCGAATGCAGGGAGGCCCAGTTGAACTTTCCAGAGATGATTGGGAAGCCCGGCGGGTTAGGGGAGTGAGTGTGGGATCCACCAACGATGACGGTGGGAACAATTTGTACCATCCGATTACCATACTGGACAGATCAAGTTCTTCCAATAAGATCTGGGCCACACCCATAAAGCATTTATGGTCCATTCTTCCATAGTCTCCCCAGACGATCACCTGCAGAGACAGAGAAAGGCAATAAACTTAAACTCCTCTCTAGAGTTGTACCTTAGGAGAGTTGAAAGCAACTATTCTGTAAAGGGGGCCAGTCAGCTAAGGAGAGGAAATGAATATAACCGACACCACAGAGGAAAACTAGGTAAGAAGATACTAACATGAAGGTGCTCAGAAAGACACTTCACAATATCTTTTAGATTCGATGGAAGGCAGGCAATGCACCTGACATTTAGCCAGTCCTGAATATTTGGGGGTCCCTGAACACTTCCGTTTTCCTTTCCTTTCTTCTTCATTGTGTCTCATGTCTGTAGATAATAATGCTCAATAAACTATTACTGGCATCATTTGCCTTGATATCTATCTATCTATCTATCTATCTATCATCATCATCTACATCTAGCTATCAAGATGAGGCAAGGAGCGACAAATTGGGCAAAAGTAGAGGAGAGGATAGAGAGAAGAAAGAAAAGAAGGTAGAGAAAAAAAGAAAAAGTTTAATTTTATTAAAGTCCATTAGACCCATATACATTTTAATACATTAATTTCGCAGCCAACAGCGACTTGCTATTTTTCTCTACGGGAGAATGTTATACCGCATTCCTCTCCACTGAACGTGAGTCTCTTCCTGTTTGATCACCTCTCAGTGTCTACAGGGATAATGTGGATTTTCAAAGGAAAAAGTCACAGGAGCTATTACTCACCTGAAGAACTTTACCCTGCGGACTTTCATCAAACACCAGGGATTGCTGATACAAAGGATCAAGGGTTTTCCGTGCAATTCTTGTCTTCTTCTTGGCTATACAGGCCCCGTTTTCCAAAAGATATACCTTGACATATGGAGCTAAACAAAGGTGACATTAATGCATGAGAAGTTAATCGTTTACATTAAATTGGTTATATTAGAAAATACCTTCCTAGGGATTTAGAGATGCTTACGGAAAGTTTTCCATTGACTATTTAAATCTTTTACAATGTAAAGTGCTTCAGAAATTCTACTCCTTCACTCCCATATGTTATCACTACAGCCAGTTTCATCATTTCAAATAAATGTATGCAAGTTACCTTAAGACTTTGACTTACTTGGGGTACATCTGGAATTACAATTCAGGTTTATATCTTAAAGCTCATTGTTTCCTTGTATTAAAACAAAACTTTTTCCTTTTGCATTTCTAAATGTACCAAAAAACTAATTGACATAAGCTAAGAAACAATCATAACTGAACTTTTCCTAATATGACAATATTATTCCTAATACTTTCTGACAGAATAATTGTGCAAAGATTCATTTTTATAGTCTCAAAGAACACAGAAAAGCTGCCTTTTTAATCAATCAGATGATAAAAAAAACCCCAGCATATAAACTTCAATGCAGCAGGTGTTTTGAGTTTCTTGCCCGTGTGATATTTTCTGGTCTAAACCCCTTCCCTTACCAGGTGTAGATTTGGAGCCAGGTTTTTGCGTGAGGCTTCGTGCTCTAATCACTTCAACTTCTAATTGGCCCTTTTTATCCTCCATTCCAATTTGTATATCGCCTGCAAGTGGAGGGAAGCAAATGTTTCAGCTTCTTTGAAGTTATGTGCAGTTAAAAAAATAGAGGTCTGTTAATAGGCTCCAAATTAGGATATTTATGATCTTGATAAAAACAAAGATTTAGAAACCCCCCTCCTCGCTCTCCTCTCCCTACTTCCAAATCAGGTTTCAAAATGTTTCTCTTCATTTTTCAGGTACTAATCCACTTAAGAGAATCCCAGGTTGGGTTATAAATTGCTTAACAACAATATACTGAGGTATTTAAGTGATTCTTGTACTCTAATAAGGTTTCTTACCCTTTATGTCATCTAGTATACAATACTTCTCAATAAAAAGCATAATCTATCTATATTTCCATTTAGAGAATCACCATTATTGTTTTGGTGAATATCCTAGCAATCTCATCAGTACTTTCCTCTCTTCCTCCCATCCTTTCCTCCTTCCTTCTTACTTATCTATCTAGCTATTATGACCATACATCCTCAGTTTATTGACTGTATGGGCCACTAAATAGGCATGTCATTAACTATTTAACCAAATATAGGCTATCTGCATTGTTACCATTATAATGAATAGCTCTAAAAAGAATTTTTGCATATGTTGTCAATGCTTCTTGATCATAAATTCTCAGATTTTAAATTATTGCGTCTAATTGAACGGGCATTCAAAATTCCATGCATATTGCCAAATATCCTTCAGAAAGGCTGTACCAGTTTGCACTATCACCAGAAGTATTATAGCCCACTAATAGTGGTATTAACAATATGTCTAATTTTTGCTAACCTGGTGGTTAAAAAGTTGTAATTTGCACTTTCCTGATTATTAGGAAGGCTGAACCTATTTCTAAGTAATTTCAACTTGTATTCCTTCTCTTATGTCTTGCTTGTCATATGCTTTATCCACTTTAAATAAGATAATCTTTTTCTGATGGATATAATACTTTATCTCTGAAAATGTTAAATTTAATTATTTTGAAGTTATTTTTAGTTGAGTCATCTCCATTTTTCAGTTGTGAGTTCTATTTTCCAGGTCAGTTGTTCATTAGTTCTGTCACTCTGTTTTAGATCTCAGCTCTTGGAGGTCTCCTGGTCTTTTCATATAGACATAGTTTAATGAGTCAAAATGTTCTATAAGACGTCTATTTTGTTTGTTAAAATGTATTTTTATTTATTTCAGAGAGGAAGGAAGAGAGAGAGAGAGACAGAGAGAGAGAGAAATATCAATGTTGAGGGAGAATCATTGATCAGCTGCCTCCTGCACACCCCACACTGGGGATTGGGCCCACATGTGCCCTGACTGGGAATCAAACCTTGACCTTCTGGATCACAGATCCACAATTAACCACTGAGCATCACTGGCTGGGCTATAAGATGATTTTTATTAGTATAAAAGATTCCCATTCTCTCTGTCAACTTCATGCCTTCCAAGGGTCACTGCTTTCATAAGTCTCAATATTTTCATCTGATCTATTTCTCACTTTTTGGCATTTGCCTCCATATCTCTAAGTATTACACTTATCAGATATCACCCTAGTTTTTCAATTGAGGATATTATTATTGACTTCTAATTTCAAACTCTCTCACTTCTTTCCTATCTCCACCACATACTAGATACTTTCGGTCATCCCATTTTCCAGTATTAATATTTATATTATTATGATTATGTAACATTGTTTATGGCGGAGTGGACTGGAATACTATGATTATTACTTCTCATTTCTTGGACAGCTCTTCCCCTTCCCTGCACTTAATAAGTATCTTTTTAGAAAGCATTTGCTTACACTTTTATGTACGTATCACTAATTCAACCCCACACACTACTGAGTTGTGTACCTCTTCCATAAAATCAAATACATTAGGTATTCTATAGATTTTAATCTTAGGAAGCCTGACATGATATAATTTGAACAAATTGCTTTGAAAGCTTACTACAGCTGTTATATTTAGGTTTTCCTTCACTACCAACTGTTTCTCTCTGTGTTGAAACATTTATTTACTGGATCTCATCTTCTCATTTTAGTTCACAATTTTTAAAATTCACTTGATTCATTTCATGGAAGTATAGTTCTCTGAGCAATGTTGGGTATGAGAAAAATGTTTGGAGGCCTTTACTGTCCTGAGTTTTTATTTAGCCTTAAACTTAAACTTACTTGAAAACTTGGCTGGCTATAGTACTCTGTGCTGGAAACCAATTGCTACTCAGAATTTTGAAGATAATGCTCATTAGAATTCTAGCTCCCAGTGTTGTGGTTGAAGAGTCCAATGGAAATCTGATTTTGATAGTTTTGCATAGAATTATCCTCTTCAGAAGATTTCCTGCTGGAGGACTTTCTGTTCATTTCTGGTGGTGTGAAATTCTATGATGATGTGCCTCTGCATCAGCCTATTTTCAAGCCTTTTGTTGAGTGCTATATGGGTCCTTTCAAGATGCAATCTCATGTCCTTCAGGAAACAGCTATGGTACATGCTACATATAATTTTCTCCATTCATTATGGATCTACTGGAGACTCTCTATTTTGACAGGGGTTTTCTGATAATTCAAAGATGTAGGACTATCTTTTTTTTTTTAAAATATATTTTATTGATTTTTGACAGAGAGGAAGGGAGAGAGATAGAGAGTCAGAAACATCGATGATAGAGAAACATCAATCAGCCGCCTCCTGCACATCCCCCACTGGGGATGTGCCCGCAACCCAGGTACATGCCCTTGACCAGAATCGAACCTGGGACCTTTCAGTCCGCAGGCCGATGCTCTATCCACTGAGCCAAACCGGTTTTGGCTGTAGGACTATCTTTATTCATTTTGCATACTATCTCAAGTTAGAAAAATGCATGGGAAATTAGAACAGTCATTTGAAACCAGTAACACCCTAGCTGAAATGTTACTTTTCACTTGCATTACAATTATGCTACTTTAAATGACCTTGTCAACCATGAAATATCACTTTTTCTGTAGAAAAATTGATTCTTACCCATTGCAGGGGTGGCGAGGGTTTGGCGGCCAACCAGCTGGGCGGGTCCCAGCCCATCGAGAAAATCACTAAATTGACTGTCCGCTCCTAGTCTCACTCCAGGGAATATTAAGCTATCAGCAAAAGTACAAAAATCAGAACATTAGCTCTCCTAGAATTCTCTTCATAGTTTCCATTATGCTACTGATTCTGATCACGGATCATAAACACTGCTTAGACAATCGGTTCACTTATTGATTGCATCGCCTCTGCACCAAGCAAGCATATGAGAGTCATCATTGATTGAGAAAAGATCTAAACTCTCAAATTAAGAGCAGATGTGGTAGTCAAGAGAGCTCTGTTACAGTTTTTAATATCTTACATTTTCTGGACGCCTACAAATAAAATTCCCTACCTAAATACTAGTATATCACTGACATAAAACATAAGATGCGCATTTTTATATCATGAACTTTAAATAATTGCTCATAAACATTGTGTAATATTAATGCTAAACTTAAAAATACCTAATGATTTCTTAAATAAATATATTAGCATAATACACATTCTTATTTAAAAATAAAATGTTTAACTTATTCATTTTGAGTGAATTGCATTTCTATATTATCTGAGATTTTTACTTAGTTCAAATGCAATGGATTGATTAAAATGTGTCTGTTGCTTACTACAGCATGACCGCCTGAATTTCCTGGGCTGTGAGCTCCACCAGAGCAGTGATTATGCTCTTATTGTTTATTGATGTATCCTGGGTAACAAGAACCAGGCTTGTTAGGTGGTTGGACGGCAGTGAGCATTTTTAAAATAAACAGATGTCCATAGGGATTTATTGCTTCAAATGTGCTTCCCCAGATACTATTTTTTCATAATCAAGGGAATTAGAAGGGTATATATGACCACCCATCCAGAGACTATGAAAAGGAATGTTTGAGAGGCTAAGGGGCCTATCCATGATGGATGTAAATGTTATTTGATTTGTTAATTTTTATATAAAAAATGTCTCCAGTCTTGCATTTGGATATTGCTTTGTAAGACTTCATCACATATTGGTGTTTTGGTCAGCAAGTTTACCTCCATAAATTTCACCCCTGCTGATTTTTTGGTCTCAGCTGATAGCATGCATCCCAATAATTTGATCAAATAAGTTTTAGGGATGGGAAAGCATATCGCAAATATGAACTTGGCATACTTTTATTTCATTTTCTGAACAAAATAGAAAAATTCCAGTAAAATACAATAAAATATTAATATTAGGATTGGTAAATTAGTTATTTAAATGGTGATAAATGAATAACTATAAAAAATTTTACATGGTTAATTCCCAAGCAACCCACTGAAGAATAATAATTATTAATTTGTAAGATCTGTCACCTCAGTAAAAATTCAGTTTTATCAGAAAAATTCTCAAGCATAGGAAAATGAAATAGTAAAAAACAAACCAGGTAAGCAAAAAAAAAAAAAAAATTCTAGTTATATTTTTTCAAACTTAATTTTAGAATTAACTAAAACTCTTTAATAAAACAGCAACAAGGAAGATAGATTCTGGGCTTTTATCTTAAGGGAAAAATGAGTTAGTGATGTTTTAAAAAACACAAAAATGTAAGTTGCTGTTATGAGAGTGTAAGAATATGAAAATTAGTTCCTCACTTCTTTTTTCTTTTTCTTTTCCTGATTTTCCTTTTTTATTGAATTTATTGGGGTGACACTGGTTAATAAAATTACATAGGTTTCAGGTGTACAGTTATACAATACATAATCTGTACATTGTGTTGTGTGTTCACTACTCCAAGTCAAGTCTCCTTCCATCACCATTTATTCCCCTTATGTCCTCCTCTACCTCTCCCTCCATTCCCCTTTCCCTCTGACAATCACCACACTGCTGCCTGTGTCTATGAGGGTTTTTTGTTGTTGTTGTTTGTTTTTGCTTATTCCCTTCAGGTTTTTCACCAGCTCCACAACCGCCTCCTCTCTGACAGCTGTCGGTCTGTTCCTCACTTCTAAATTTTAATTCAGATTTTGGTAATCAGGCCTGACAATGAGTTTCCTGCATGAAAGAATCCATTAAGGTGACATTGCTACCATAAACATCTATGAGTGGACTATTCTGAACTTTTCTGAGTGATAGAGATCAGTTTATGTTAACCCAACATTGCATCATTCCTTCGAAGGTTCTGCATGACTAGTTCTGTGCAGAGGTGTGTCTGTGTGTCTGTGTGTCTGTCTCACAAGGTCAGGTGTTTTTAAATGGATGACTGACCAGCTAGTGAAGTGAAGAAGCTCGCAGTCGCCCCAGGTGGCTGTGTTATGTTTCCTATCACCACATGCCCATGGTTCTAAAGCCACACAGGTGAGCCGACGGCACTTACTTTCCCTCGGAGCTGTAACTGTTGATGCTGCCATCCGTAGACTCTCGACTTGGTTGTCTTACCATCTTCCTCATTTCAGCTGCCATTCCCGTTTCTGTGCTTCTCTGGATGGTGCTTTTTAACTTCTTGTGGCCCGACTCTGGCAGGAGAGAGTGAAAGGAACTCTAAGTTTGGTTTAGGCAGTTTCCTGAATATGGACTCTGCAAATATAATAGTCCATTATGCGCATAGTTAAAAGTTAAACTCAGAAAAACAGTGTCTGACAGAATCATCTGATTGATTAAATCTTTTTGCCAAAGCGTGCTTCGGCCAAGAGGGGTGGCACCATTGCTCCGGCTTCAGGAACTGCCTGAATCTTAACGAGCCAAAATGAACTCATTGTATTATTGCTGCCGAAGTTGTGAGCTTCAATGAAAAAATAGATTTGGCACCAAATTGCTCTGTGGAAAGAGAATGCTGAAAACCTAATCTGGAATGCTCCGATGTGTGGGAACCGTCCTAAATGAGGGGCCATGTCCTTTAAAGGAGAAGAGGCACTTGGAAGAAAGCATGGAAAATACCACGGTTTGGGTACTGCCACTTAGCAGCAGTCCTCGTAGAGAAACTTCAGTATTTTATTTGATGATTTTCGCAACACTTTAACAAACACACTCTCATTAAAGATGACATGTATGTTGCTTATGTAGGTTGAATAGATATTATCTTAATTCCAAGGTTTCAAAGTTATCTCATGGCCCTTGGACTTTAGAGCAATATCCTTGAGCCCCTGTTAGAATAATAGAATATTAAGCAACATTCTATTTACAGCATGGAAATGAAATTCTAGAACATTTATTTGATTAGGGCAATATCAAAAGGTTAGAGAAACTATTAGACTTTTAACACCTGCCATGCCTTTTTCATCTATACATCCCATAAGCATTTCTGGGTTTATTTCCATTTCTCTAAAGTATCATTTAATATCCATTAATAATATATGAAAAATGCTTTATATACATAGGCACATTCAGAAACTACATATATATATATGAATATACACATAAATTTTTCAATCTTCATAACACTTCTGTGAAGCAGGTGCCTAAAACACTGTTAAATAAGCCATATGAAAAAGTGAATGTTTTCCTCCAAAGATTTTTTATCTTTGCACCCCTTTTCTAGATTGTCTAATAAAAGATATCATTGGTTATGTGATACGGGCTCAATATTGAATATTCTCTACAGGAGAACACAAGTGTGATTATGATACTTCCTTGCTCAAGTTCTTGTGATAGTTTATCATCGAAATGAAAAGAAAATCCAAAATTGTTTTCATTGCCTACAAAATGTTACCTAGGACCCGGCTACCTCTCAGATCTCACCCTCATCCCATGTGCACACTTCCTTCCTTGAATTTCTCATCCACTCCAAGCATGTGTTTCAGGCCCAGTTTCCTTCCTGGCTGCCCCTGCTGACTTTTTTTTGCCTTGCTCCCTCATCTTATTTGGGTCTCTGTTTCAATCCTCATCAATCTTTATCCTCTTGCCATGCTTCATATTTCTTCAGAGCACTGCTCCATCTTCTAGTAAACCTCAATTTGTTTGTTGTCGGTTTCCCCAAATAGAACTTATTTCTATGAGAGAGAGACATGTGAATATTGCTGACTGCTATCCCTAGTATGGAGAACAGTGGGATAAACTCAGTAACAGGATGATACCACAGTCCACATGTGCAATTTTCTCTATCCATTTAATAGAATTATAATACAAACTCATCCGTTTATTGTTTTTAATGAGTGCACTGTTCCATCATATGGCTATGTGGTATCATACTTAAACCATCTCTTTCTTGATGAGCAGTCTCAGTTGTTAGAGAGTTTTTATAGAATACATTTCTAGACATTGAAAAGCTGGTCAAAGTGTAGGGATCTGTTTAATCTTAATAGCTATTTCTAAATTGTCCTTTAGAAACATTGCAGCAATTTGCACTCCTGCCAACATTTATGCAAATGTTCCCATTTAACCAGCAAAGGCATAGGAATTTTCTACATTTTCTCTTTCTGGTGTCTGTCTTGTTCATTGACTTGTTATTGTAGAATGTGTACACATACCAAAGGCAGGGACTTCATTTACGGCCGTTCTGAGTGCTGTATAGTTTCGGTATATTTATATGTATCTAAATACTGTGTCTCCTTCTTAGATGTAGGTCCTTTATGAAGTGACTGTGATAGAGCAACACGTCCTTCATGCACACACATTGGCCAGATCCCTCCTGAGGGGTCGGGACAAGCCCCAAGGGTTTATTACCAATTGTGACAAAAGTTTCCAAGGCAGGGTGAGGCAATACAGCTGGGGGGAGGGGGGGGGTGGGAGGGGGGGGAGAGACCAGATTCTTTGATAATCATGGCTAGAGAAAGTGTGGGCAAACTTTAAATCTAAATAAGGTGATGTTGGAAACTGGAGGAGAAACAGTTAAGGGATCAGCAGTAAGGAGTTTCAGGTTAGAGCATACATTCCTTCAGATTTTCATCCATCCATCCATCCATCCATCCATCCATCCATCCATCCAACCAACCAACCAATATTTATGAAGCCCCTAATGTGTGTCACACACTGCTCTAGGTGCTGGGAACATACTGATAAATGACAAACTTCCTGCTATCCTGGAGCTTACATTCCACTGTGTGTATTTCTTGTGTGTACACCAGAAAGGAATGGACAATTAAACAAATAATATCACTGGTAATACCTGCTGTGTAAAAACGTGAGGCAGGAGACGGGGGATAGAGAGTGACAGGGTAAGAGCAGCAATGGGTTTTTTAAAAAGGGGTCAGGGTCTCATTAAACACTGGACAGGGAAGTAACCCCACAGAGGAACTGATCCTGGTGACTGTGGTGGGAGGCTGCACGGTGGTCGGGAAGGGCTGTTGTTTTGTCAGTAGCACACAGTCCTCCAGGTTCCTCTGCCGTCTTTTCAATGCGGATGCTGGCTCTGTCCGCTCTGTGGACAGCTGGCAGGCCAGGGGACCGTGGAGGTAGGCTGTCAAGACCTGCTTTCTGTACATTTCCCAATACAGGTTTCACATGGTTGTCATTCATTACATATTTTTTTAATTAGTGAAAAGAAAAAAATTAAAAGTGAAGAGTCTATTAATTTTTTTGCTTTTAAAAAAAATTGGAATGTCAAGTTTTCTTAAAAAAGGGTATATCTAAAGGGTACCCCAAAATCCTTAGAGCAGTTTTAAATCTTAATAGCTTCCAAAATATAAATGCTGCACACTTTGAAAAGACATCATTTAAAAGGTTGGCTATTGACCTTCCTCTCCTATTTAATTTTGTGAATCTGAATTACATATTTTTAATTTTAAAGTTGTCTTTTAGTTCTTCTGAAGATGGCAAACATAGACCAACTTAGCTCTTGCCTTATTCATGCTAATATTCAATGCAAAGAGCTCTGATGGACTGAACAATTTTATAAAGGCCCAGGTAAAAGCTGAATAAATAGTTCCAGCTATGAATCTGCCCAATTTAAATTCAAAGGTCTCTAATATTATTCAGAATGAAAGGGTTGGGAGGAACACTGTTTAATAGGTGTAGAAACTAGAGATTTTGTGAAGCATAATTCATGCAGAAAATTCTGTTCAGCACTTACACTGGGCCCAGTCTTTCTAGATGCTGGTGATCCAGCGGTGAACACAACAGACAAGCACCCCTGCCCACATGGAGCTTACATGCTAGTGAATATAATGATCTGCTCAACATCATAGTAGTTAGTAGCAGAAACTGCATTCGAAACCTGATTTTCTGAATCTTAGTCTTGTGATCACCCCATTATATCACAGTTTAGAAAAACACAAAATCTCATCTCACTTATTTTACAAATAGAACAGTTTTGCCACATGGATATTTTCATGTATACGTCCTCATATGGGCTTATAAGTTCATTTGAAAACTTTGTTGAAAATCACATATATTCTATATAAGTACAAATGTATATAATCACTGTATCTCTGCACATGCTGTAGTTATAGCATAAATATGTTAGATACATGTATTATTTTTAATATCAATATAATGCATTAAACCATAAAATATTAGCAAATACTATTACGCTTATTAACAGTAGCACCATTCTTTAATAATTATTTGTATCCATTGAAGAATATTAACCTGATAAAGACATGAACTCTGCTATCAAATTATGAACATGAAACCTTTGACTTAAACCACTGTCCTAAGTATTATACAAAAAACAAAGGATTAGAAAACTAGTATATGTTAAGATTCTATGTTCACAAACACATAAAATTTAGTACAATCCATAACATTTGGGGCAATATTGTATCCAGATTTAGGAAGAACAAACTTTCTCTCATTGAATATTCCAAAGTGCCATGTTTACATAGGTACTTACACTCTCTTTTCATAGAGATGTGTGTTATGTTTAGAAACACCCTGCTGACTTATTCACTCTGTAAATACTCCTTAAGCACCAAGTACCTATAATCTAATAGACATCATTTTAGGGGTGGGAGCTACAACAGTAATCATACAGGATAGCACATATAATAAACAACTAAAACAAATAACCTAATAATTTTAGATCTTGGTAATCATCATGGAAGGAATTAAAGCAGAAGAGACTGTCTCAGTAGACTGAGTTACTTTTGATCAGCTGGGCATGGAAGGCCACATCTGAGAATGCAGAGAAGGACTCAGCCATGCAAAAACTGCAGGAAGGATGGTACAGGCAGAAGGAGCAGGTATAGGACCCTGAGGAGTGACTGTCCTTCCTGGCTTTTCTGAGAAAGCCATGAGAGGGCGACATAGGTGGACGATGAGAAGATGGAGCAGAAGAGGCTGAAGGACCTGGTGGTGCAGTATCAGCAGGGAAGCAGCCTGGATTTTGCACTGAGAGTGCTGGGAAGCCACGGGGGTGGGGGGGTCATGATCCATCCAATCTATGATCTACGTTTTTAAAGGATCCCTCTAGTTACTGGGTGGAGAATGAATGTTAGGAACTATAAGTGAAAGCAGGGGGAGGATTTGGAAAGTTACTTTCCTACCTAAGAAGAGATAAATACAGCAATGGCTTAGGTTAGGGAAGTAGCAGTGGAGATAAGGGAGGAGGTGGGCATTGATTATATTTTGAGGAGGAGCT